TAATACATGCATTAGGCACTGAACACTTATTGGAAGCTTTGGAGTAGGTAGGGCTTACTGACCAATAGGTTTTGCATAAGGTGACATGGCTGGGTCATTTTTCTGAGAGATTTTCTATTCCTGCTATCTGTAAGTCTTATATCTTGAGATGCTCTGTTTTCCTAGAGAGAAATTATATAGTTTTTTGTCTGTGGAGTATAAGTTTGGGTACTGTCTAGAATTGAGCATGGAAAGGGGGCTAAGGGTCTCTTCAGTTAGTGTGTAGACTTGTTTTTAATACCTTCTGTTTCCTCACTGTGCCTTACGTGCCTCAATCCATAGTTCTGTCTCACATTTCCAGAGATTAAATCTGGCTTGTAATAATTTTGATGACAAGATAGTAGTTAGTCATATCCTTTTTTGTCATTACATATACAATATGTTCTCTTTCTCTGATGGCTTTCAAGATTTTTTTCCTTTTCTTTCTTTTTATGTATTTTTCTAAAAGATTTTATTTTTAAGTAATCTCTACAGCTAACATGGGGCTTGAACTCACAACCTTGAGATCAGGAATTGCACAGTCCACCAACTGAGCTGTTCAGGTGCCCCCAATTTTTTTTCTTTTTAAAAATTTTTAATGGATTAGTTTTTTATTGATGTATAATTGCCATGTAACATTATATTAATTTCGTGTGTACAACATAATTCCATATTTTTGTATATATTGCAAAATGATCACCACAGTAAGTCTAGTGAATATGTCACCACACAGTTAAAATTTTTTTCCTGTGATGAGAACTTTTAAGATTTAATCTCTTAGTTTTCATGTATGCAATATAGTATTATTAACTATAGTCACCATACTGTGACTTATTTATGTTATCCCAGCAGTTATTTATGTTATAACTGGAAGTTTGTATCTTTTGACTTCTCTTATCCATTTTACCCACCCCATCCCCCTGTTTCTGGCAACTACTAATCTATTCTCTGTAGCTGTGTGCTTGGGTTTTGTTTTTTTTGTTTGTTTTTAAGATTCCACATATAAGTGAGATCATAAACTTTTGTCTTTCTTTGACTTATTTCATCTAGTATAATGCCATCGGGGTCCATCCATGTTGTTGAAAATGGCAAGATTTCCTTCTTTTTTTATGGCTAATATTCCCTTGTATATATGTATACCACATTTTCTTTATCCAGTCCTCCACTGATGGACACTTACGTTGCTTCCGTGTCTTGGCTATTGTAAATAAATGCTGTAGTGAACATAGGCTGCAGATATCTTTTTGAATTAGTGTTTGATTTTCTTTGGATGAATACCTAGAAGTGGAATTGCTGGGTCATATGGTAATTGTATTTTTGATATTTTTGAGGAACGTCCATACTGTTTTTTTTTTTTTTAAGTTTATTTAAGTAATCTCTATACCCAGCATGGGGCTCCAGCTCATGCCCCCAAAATCTAGAGCCACATGCTCCACCAACTGAGCCAGCCAGGTACCCTACTCTGTGTTGTTTTCCATAGTGGCTGTACCAGTATACATTCTTGCCAACAGTGGCCAAGGGGTCCCTTTTCTCCACATCCTCGCCAACACCCTATTTTTTATCTTTTAAATAATAGCAATTCTATTAGGTGTGAGGTGTTATTGTATTGTACTTAGATATGGCTTTCTTTGTACTTCTGCTTGGAGGAATCATTGAGCTGCTTCAATCCGTAAATTTATGTCTTTTACCAAATATTAGAATTTTCAGGCTATTATTTCTTCAAATATTTTTTCTGCCCATTTTTCTCTCCTGATCTCCAGCATTTTGATAACAGTTTATCTGTGCCTTCTATGTGTTCAAGAGCAATTTTACTGAATATAAAAAACTTCACTTATATTTTCTTGAGTATCTTAAATATATTACTCCATTTTCTTCTGGCATATAGTGTTGCCTTGGAAAAGTTTGATGTTGGCTTTCTTGGTTGGTATTAGGTGTATGTCATGCTTTTTCAGTCAGCAGTTTCAAAAATTTTTCAATTTTCAAGGGCATTTTCTTGTATTACAGTTTTTACTATTTTCTTATGGTAGTGCTCTTTAAAGGCTTCTTTTACTTGAATGTTGAATTTTTTTGCTTCGTTAGTTGTTTCCTTCCCTTTTATCCCTTCATTTGGTTAAATGTTCAATGGATATATGTTGTATGTGTTTTCTCTCAAGTTCATTCAGGCTTAGTCTTCATTTCTGAAACTTTTTTTTCCTCCCTATTTCTGATGTTTTCCTGAGTTCTGTTAACCTAAACCTGAGTTTTTTGAAATTTGGTTTATGTTGTTCTTTCATGTCTTGAGTCATTTTTGTAATTTTTTTTAGCTCATTTTAAAATGGTAGGTTACAGTTTTCTCCTATTTTGTGGGTATGTGTTCTTGGTGTGGTTTCATTATTAGGATGTTATTCCATATCTTCTTTTTCTTTTTCCTTATAATAACTTCATGGGATTGACCTAATCATTTTCTGTTGTTTACATTTTTGTGGTTTTAGAATGTCTTTTCTTACAGAGCTCCTTCTGATATTGTTTTAGGGCACTCTTCAGAAGCGTGGCATTTGCTTTCTGAAATTTCTAGGCTTTGCTTCCTTTCTTCCTTTTGTCTGAATATTCTCTTTCCTTTATCTTCATTGTACCAGTTGTGCTCAATTTTGCTCCCACACCGAGTAGTTTATCCTCATTGTGATACCCTTAGGGTTGTTTTACAAGTTCATCGAGGCTAGATTGCTCCAACTTCTTCAAGAGTTTACCATGGACCTCCTATACTAAATCATTATTTGAAAGGAGAAACCCTTTGAGTTAGAGCTTTTGTACTCAAATTGCTGTTTTCAGTGTCTCTATTCTCAGATCTGACAGATACTCTGTTTCCTTTTGCTTCCTCTCATATGACACAGGCCCTGTGGTTATTGGTAATTTGTCTCCACCTGCTATTTGGGGTTAACTCATGGAGATTCCTTGTCAGCCAGTTTTGTTATAAATGTTGTCTGTTGGTTTGGGATTTGTATTCTTACCTCAGGATTTAGGGATGCTCAAAAACGTTGGCGTGGCCTCTGTTGTCCCTGAATCTAATTTACCACTTGTTAATTGCTGTTTATGGTTTGTTTTGTTTCAAGTTTGATAATCTTGCTCTAATTAGATTATACCTTCCTCTAGATAGTGCTTGAATCTTAATCAGTTCGAGTGCTGGTTTATGTTGAAAACAGCCTTTACAGTTGTCCAGCATAGTACTAGACATGTATTTAATGACTCAGAGTTATCAGTTTAGAAGGTTAGCCTAAGGGTAATTGTAGGCCAGCTTCCAACCTTTTAATAGTAGGATTAGCACTTACTCTTACCTTTTTTCCCCCTATTCCAGAACTTTTATTTTTTTGTTTGTTTTTTAAATTTAAATTCAATTAATTAACACATAATGCATTATTAGTTTCAGAGGCAGAGATCAATGATTCATCAGTCTTATATAACACCCAGTGCTCATTATATCACGTGCCTGCCTTAATGTCCATCACTCAGTTACCCCATCCTCCCACTCGCCTCCCCTCCAGCAACCCTCAATTTGTTTCCTAAGATTAAGAGTCTCTTATGGTTTGTTTCCCTCTCTGATTTCGTCTTGTTTTATTTTCCCTCCCTTCCCCTATGATCCTTTGTTTTGTTTCTTAAATTCCATATATGAGTGAGATTGTTTGATAATTGTCTTTCTCTGATGACTTATTTCACTTAGTATATAATATCCTCTAGTTCCATCCATGTCGTTCCAAATGGCAAGATTTCATTTTTTTTGATGACTGAGTAGTATTCTATTGTGTATGTATATATGTATGTGTGTGTATACACACACACACACACACACACACACACACACACACATATCTTCTTTATCCGTTCATCTTTTGATGGACATCTGAGCTCTTTTCCATAGTTTGGCTATTGTGGACATTGCTACTCTAAACATTGGGGTGCAGATGCCCCTTTGGATCACTACATTTGTATCTTCGGGGTAAATACCTGATGGTAGCACCTACTCTTAGGTTGCAGGAAAACAGGGATATGAGGTGGCCTGCCTGTACACGAACGTCATTCATGCATCGTCTTTGATGTGTATGTCATAGCCTGTCATCCTCTGATCTAAACATTACTGGGAGACATTGATTTAGTGTACTGATGGTCCAAAAAGTCTACAAAATAATGAGCATCATAGAAACATATTGGAAACAGCTGATGTCATCCTACAAAATGATAGCTCATTTCTCTTTGTCACTGTCTAAAAATAATATAAAGGAAATGTAGAAACTCTTGGGTGAAGCAATTAAAATAGTAGAGATGGCAAAAGATTTTCTTGAAAGACTAAACCAAAACAAACAAAAAACCAGGGATTGTCCAATTTGTTAGTATAAAGAGAGGCAGAGGGGTGTGGATGGGATATGATGGAATTTGATAAGATTGTGAAGGGAATTAAGGAGCATAAATAATACTTTTGGTTAAAGAAAGCATCAGTTTTTATATATTGGGTTGTAATTTTAGGGATCTTGTTATCCTAGTAATAGCCCAGTTCCTTTGCTTCTCAATTTGGTATTCTAAAAAATCAGTTAAAACAACTCAGTTCCTGAAACACAGATCTTTATTGATTTGGTAAAACTTTCCAAGATATTTGAAGTGTTAAGAAGTTGATATTTCTTATTTTTAAAATTTATTTATTTATTTTAGAGCACACACAGAGGGGCAGATGGAAAGGCAGAGAGAATCTCAAGCAGACACTGGGCTGAGCACAGAGCCTGACACAGGGCTTGATCTTATGACCCTGAGATCAGGACCTGAGCCGAAACCAAGAGTTCGTCACTTAACTGACTCTGCCACCCATGCACTCTGATATTTCTTATTTTTACTTCATTTAACTTCCTTGCTTAAAGGAATCATACTTTATTTTCATTTATGAATATAGATTGTTTACCTTGTAGTATGTTTCATTTAAAATTACTCCTAATTTTTACCTTTTTAAAAATTTTTAACAGGCCTCAACAAATAATGAAAGTTCTAATCACAGTTTTGGAAGCTTGGGATCTTTAAGTGACAAAGAATCTGAGGTAAGTAACTTCATTTTTAATATGGTGCTATTAAAGTAAAAGCTGGAATCACCTTTTTGCTTTTAATAGTTTTTCCTCCTCTCCCAATCCCCCCAGCAATCTTTGTGGTAAAGGTTAATGCTAAAGTTTCTGGTAGGAACATTTTGTTCTGCCTTATGAAGCACAGTATTCAGACTGAGGACATGTGGCATTAGAAAGAAAATATAGTTTCTTTGGTGACGTAGTTGAACTTCTACATTAGTGATATAGATTTTCTTAATGGAAGACAGTTACTAGCCATTCATAATTCTAGTAGGCGAAAGTGGTTTTTGAACTGTTTTTACAGTTTTCTATTGTTTTTTGTTATACTTCCCTCTTAGTTTGGTTCTGAGTAAGGGTTTGTTTACTTCCTGAGATATAGATGATACATTTTTTTCTTTTTGAAATTTGTTGAATTTCATGCTGTTCATTTTCATTTTTCATATTTAAGAATATCTGGAAAATCCTCTCTCCTCCCACCCACTTACCAACCCCACTAAGAACATACATGGAATTTTACAAGTAGGTATTTAGATCCATGGTGCAGTTACCATTGAGCATGATACACTTGATGGCATCTGTTTGAAGTATGTATACAGGAAGTTCTTTGGGTTTTAGCATTCACTTGATGCTGTAACATCACTTTTTGTGGCTACAACCTTACAGTATTTCCTTTGCTCAGATTATAGACTTCTGTTACTTTTCAATGCATGTGTGTGTGTGTGTGTGTGTGTGTGTGTGTGTGTGTGTACGTGTACGTGTGTGTGTGTTTTCCCTTCAATGTTAACTTATTTCTCTTTGATCCATTTTGGTCTTTTTTCTACTTGGGTTAGTATAGATATATCCCCTTGATAACACCAATAGGTCATTAGCATTCAGTAACTCTTAGCCATTTGGTTTTGGTGTTCAGTGGAAAGAGAATATCAAAGGTGGCATTTTTTTAAGTCCTCTGTTATTGAAAGCATCTAGGAATCTCTCTAGGTAGACAGTTTTGTGCAGTACTGTGCAGGCACCCTGACACTCCAAAGGAGTGTGGCATAGGGTTTTCACTCATCAGGCTTTCCCTTCCACAGAGACAACTGGCAGGCAGCTGAAAGGACTGTGCAAGTGACGGGACTTTATCCGCAGTAGGTTCCCTTGAGGTAAGCGTTAGTAGCCCCTGTAGTACCAGATTATCACAGTTTAGTTTTTTTTCAAATTAGCATACTTATATTAAGTCCTTAAAAATTGTAGGTTTAGATTTAGTCAAAGTACAGCTTTTTAGAAACTATATCAAGAATGTTTTCACTTTATATCTCCTGGACTTTGGAACATTTCTTGATATTTCCAGATTTTGGTCTATTTAGTAATTTCACATGCCTTCCCTTTCATAGGCTGTTATGTTATGAAGGGCGATAAAATAATTTTAGATATTTCTCTTTTATCTTCACCAAATCTGATATTTTTGACAGATTTTTTATAGCAAAACATAGTAAAAGATCTGTAACAGGTATTTCTGTGTTTTTTATAGTCTCCCAATATAAACTGTAGATGCAGTATTTAATTTTTTCAGAGGAATCAGTCTATAAGAAAGTACCACTTCCCTTTAAAGAATTCCAAGAATCACTTTTGACTGTATTTTTAGTTAAAAAAAATTTTTTTAAGACCATACTGTAATTTACAGTGAAGTACAATTCGGTTAAGCATTGCATATACTTAGCTTAATTTGTATAGAAATTTTGACATTTGAGGCATTTATAGAAAATCTTAAAAATTTGGGGGCTTTTGCTGGTCTGTGTTCAGTATCAGGAATTTTTACAAATTGTTAAGTCAAGTGGCACAGTATTTTGAAAATGACTACAGCTTATACATTTTCTTTAAGATTTGAAGAAGCAATTTTTTTTGTCTTATCATTTAAGAAGCTACTTATCTGGAAAATGATTTTCAGGTTTTATTTCTATACTAGATACTTTAACAAATTTCCTTGGGGTGAAATTTTACACACCTCAAAATATAGGTATTTGTCAATCATTATGTGAAGTTGTTCGGCATAAATAATTATAGGGTGAAGTACTACTTTTTTTCCTGGTGCACCAGTAGTAAAGTTTATGTACTATTGTTCTCTGATGTCATTTTATTCTTTGGTACTCCGTCCCCTGATCCATTACATTTTCTTAAATAATAGTTTTTGTTTATATGAAAAATAGTACTGAGGGTTTATTTAAAAAAAATAGCTTTTCTCTCCACCTCACTCTTGATTCTTTCAGCTCTTCTTCCTGGTATTTATTTCCACATTTTAATATAAAAAATATGCATATCTTGAGCTTTTGTTTCTTCAGTTGGGCATTTTCCTCCCACCCAGTACTCTTTCAGACACCCAGAACTCCTCTGTTTTCTAGCTTTTTACTTTTAAAACTGAAAAGCATCTGATATTCACTGTTAAACTCATTTGAATCTACTTCAACTGAAATTTTTCATTTCAGTTTGTATATGAATTCTTACATGGATTTGCCTTTTATTTCTAAATATAGAATTGTAGAACAGAAAGGTTTTTCCCTTTGTTAATGAAATTGCCTAGTTGGTAGGAAGGTGTCAGTCTTGTTTTTGCTTCATTTTACATCATTCTAGGTCTGTTCAGTGTGTTCCAAAACTTTACTGTGTTTTCAGTAAGCATTTATTACATATGTGTTATCTTCTAGCCTCTGTGCCCAAGCAAAGAGAATTTAAAAAAGTGAATACAGTGCAATCCCTACCTTCACATGAGATCATTGTCTAGTAGGACAGACAGACTGCTTCATAAACAGTGTAGACTATGGTATAATAGATGTAAGCACAAGGTACTATGGGAGCAAAGAGCAAGAAACCCCTAATTCCATCTTTGCTGGGGAGAAGCGGGGGGAGAAAAGTGAAGTCTTCCTTTAAAGGAGAGGATAGTTGAGTTGTTCGAAAGGCTGTGAATTCATCCCAGAAGACAAGGGTAAAGTACGAGAAGAAGACAAGCAGAAAGGCTAGGATACGCTTTTGCTTTTGCATGGAAGCATGGCAGGTAGTTCTGTTCAAGACATGAGGCAGTGATTCTCAACCCTTAGTGCACTTTTAGATCACCTGAGAGGCTTAAAAAACATACCAAGCTGCCTGCTGGTTTGAAGACCTCTGGCATAGGTAGGCTATGCAAGAATGGTGAAAGATAGGTAGGAGTCAGGGTTTGAAAGCCCTTGTACTTCGTAATAAGGAATTTGGACTGTTGTCTAGATAATGGAGAGCCATTTAAACAGGAGGAACAGAAGGCAAAGTAGAGATGAATAGGCTCCCCCAGTTTGTAGTGTAGAGGATAAAATTGGAGGGAATGAAAGCTAAGTTGGGAAAATCATTTAGTTAAGGAATATTGTCTCCTTTACAAAACTCCCAACTTCCACAGTTTAATATTAGGAGGAAGAACTTTAAGTGGGCAGGGTTCTAATTAAAGTGTTCTCAAGTTTACCTTTTGGGCTCTGCCTTCTCCTTCAGATTCTCAAACCAGTTATTGGTATTACTCCCCAGGCCCATGCTTCTCAGACTTCAGTGTGCAAGTGATTTACCAACAGTTCCTTTTCTCTATAGATCTGGGATGGGAGTTTGCATTTCTAACAAGCTCTCGGATTCGCCTAGATTATAAAAGAAGAATCAGTATGGTTTAATGACTGACTGAAGGTAAAGGAGGAAAGGGAAGAGCCTAGGATTATTTAAAGGTATCTAGCTTTAGGTGAATGTTAGTGCCTTTGACCAAAATAGACAACACAGAAGGAAGAAACATAGGTTTGGCATAGAAGATAATTAAATTCTGGACAACACTGAGTTTGAACATCTGTGAATTGACCAAATGAAGATGGTACTTCAGATAGGCAGTAGGAGTTAATCTGGAGCTCAGGAAAGAGGTCAGGTTAGAGATGAAGACTTAGAGGAGTTTTTGGCACGGGTGACCACTTTGAGTGGTCATAGGATTCCTGGGGATGGGTCTCTTGAGAGTCAGGGGCTTCCCAGGGTCAAAACAATCTTCATAGTAGTGCTAAGGCATTATTTGCCCCCCCTTTTTTTACAATAATGCTAAGACATATCTGGCTTTTTAACTTTCATTTTCTCTAGAGTTTACAGTGAAAATTTCCAGTCTGTAATGACACATGATGACATCATCACCCTGACTTACGAATTGTGTACTTGCATATTTTGTTTCAAAACTTCTTTAGTTTTAACATCTAGAATAGTAAATATTGATAGTTATAGCCTATGCATATAAAAGCTCTGAGGCATCCTTGACAGTTTTAAGAGTTTGTAGAGGAGTCCTGGGACCTAAAAGTTTAAAAACTGCTTCTGTGGGTGAACTCATCTTGATAGTGTGTGTAATGCTGGGAAATGTTAGCAGGCGAGGTAAGTGTGCTAGAGTAAGAGTAGTAGTCTGGTAAGGAGGTAGACAGTAGGAGGAAAAAGAGGAGAAAGAGAGAATAAGGAGTAGAATTAAATGTCACAGAAGTCAATTAAGATAATGACTATTAAAAGTGACTTAAGAATTGTCACTTAGGCTTAGTTTTAGTAGACTGATGGGAGCAAGATACTAGATTGTAGCCCATTAAAGAGAGCTGGGATAGTGAGGAAATAGTGACAGCAAATATTGACTACTCTTGGCAGAATCTTGACGATAAGGGAGATGGTGTCTAGAGTCTAACAGGCTCAACAAACTATGTATAGGGAAGGGCTTGTAGCAGAGCTGTGACGACAGGACAAGGAATGCTGAAAAGAGAGGAGAAAATAGAACCAAGCTTAACACCTTTTTTTGGGAGGTGGTATGAAATGCCGAGATCCAGAACCTGGGTGGGCAGGGTTCATTGTGGACAGAATTAACTGGGAACACCTTTCCCCGATGCACAGACTTCCAGCCTAATAACCTTTCTCATACTCCACAGTGAAATAGAGTTGATCAGCCGAAGCAAAGAATCATGAGTTGGTTGTGGGTGTGAGAATGATGAAAA